CAGCGTCAATACTTAATTGGACATTTTCTCCTATACTTTTTAGCACATACCTATTTATTATTAGCATTATTCTTCCGACGTCTAATTTCTTTTTAACTATAGGAAATGCATTTTTCTAAGGTAGATAAACATTTGGGATTGACTGTATAGCCAATACATCCTTAAAGAAGATTTGAATGACAAATATTCGTAAATCAATTCGTTGCGTCACCTTCTTAGTTCGATTAAGAGTAGATCTGATAAAAATTCCCTGATCATCTCGTGTCAGGGAAAACTGAGTTTTATTTGCATGCATCAGATTTTCCAAAAGAGGCGATCTTCGCAGTATGCTTCGCAAACATGTCGACGGATACGCGTGTGTTTTCCTACCCGAAACGACGATGTTGAACGTCTTGCGATCAATCCGATTTTTAACGATTCGATCAGTCTACGGGAGCGAGTTCGAAACGATAGTCAGGCAGAACAGAAAGAGAAAATGAGTGGCCGCGTGTGTGCGTATGCTTGTGTGCGTGCGAGGGAGATGATAGATCGTCAACTTACGTTGTTGGCTAAATATGATTTTTATAGAAATGTATTTATATAGAAACTACATCGTTATATTGCATATAAAAGGAGAAATTTGCACGTTTAGCGTAATGAACGCAAACAGGATTTTGTTCACTGGTGATACATATTTTAATCGAACGCGCTTGGAGAACGGTGCGAATTATCTCTGTATCGTTTCCCACCTTCCCATCAACAAACCGTCAATAATGTTTCATTAGACGTAAAAAAAAATTAAAGTTTCGTAGAAGTGGAGCGTTCAATACTCTTTGCCTTATCATTAATCACAGCGCCGATCCGTCAAGTTTATTTGGTAACGAAAGTTAACACCAGCTAACGATCGTTTATAAAATAGTAGTTTTATTAAAAGCCACATGCGTATTTACATTATATTTGAAGTAACTTGACCAGCAAGTTACGATTGCACGTTCTGAGATTAATTTATACACGATACTTTTCCTAAGATAGATTCCGTGAATGAACATTTTAAATTCGCCTAATTAAATATTAAATATACATTATACCTTATATTAGATCACAGTCTTCGATTAAGTTTTACACTGTTTGCCGTTTTCTGCGTCGACTACTTTTTACATTCACATAATGAAACGCAACGGAAATTAGAATTGGAAGCATACTGTATCGTGCACAATTGATATTTTATACAGTAGAAAAAGTCTGACTGTTCGGAGGAACGTTGGAGGCTCGCGTGCTGGAAGATTCTAAAATGAAAACGGTGTGATCGTGTAAACAGGATGAACGAAAACTCTAAGTCTTTGGTCTACCAGAAGAAACTATTCAGGGGATCTGACGTTAATCCGCGTTAAAATCGTTCATGTCTTCTAGTGCAATCGTGTTGTGCCGTTCGGTGAACAACGTGTCCTGACTCAGGGCTGGAACTTGTCTAGAGAACTCGCTGGTCGCCCAGAGAAACAGATCCAACGTCTGTTCCGTGCACTCCGCTATGAATCTAACGAACGGCCGCACATCCCCGGTATTAGCTATTTGAAGATTCTCGTAATAAGTGTGTCGATGCTGCTTGTGAATAATAACTGGCGGATAACCAGCTTGCATTAAAATCATGTTCATGAGCAGGCGAGACGTTCTACCGTTGCCGTCGGAGAACGGATGTATATGCACCAATTTGTAATGCGCCAGTGCAGCATATCTGGAATAATACGATGTAGAGCTCATTCAGTGATTCTCGGTAATTTCGAGATTACGAGAGAACATTTACCTGACTGGGTGCATGCGAATAGCTCTCTCACTGTTCAGCCACAACGCGAATTCCTCCATTAGATAATGAATATCCCCGGGTCCCGGAGGTACATGCCCACCCACGTAAACCTGGGTACGTCGAAACTGACCACCCTGCACAGGATCCACGTGCCCTAAGACGCGCCTATGAATCTCCAGAATATCTTTAATAGAAATCGAGCCCACCCTGTTGACCAGAGTCGCGTTTATGTATTTCATCGCAGCGTCCAAGCCCAGAATCTCGTTGTGCTCGTCGATGCTTTTACCGGCAACAGCGGTACGCGTTTCGACGATCGCTCTGGTCTGAGCAAGATTCATCGTATTCCCTTCGATCCCGACCGTGTGATAAATATGCTGAAAGTAAGCCTCCTTCTTCGCACGTATCAACGCAGCATTGTTATCAGGTATCGCGGCTAAAGCATTGCGTTTCTCATCTATCCGCCGGAGCATCCTCCTATCCAATTCCTCGACGACTCGCGCAGTCCTCTGACTATTTATTAAAGCCCCTTCGTGATTCGGTTGATAGCTCAAAGCTCGCACGTAATACTCGTTCGCTTTGATAACATTGTTTTGCGTATGTTCCAAGAACTCCCCATAATGATTCAAAACATCCGGGTGCCTGGGCGCCAAAGCCACGGCATGTTGAAACAGTTTAATCGCTCTCTTTTGCTTCCCCGACAGTTTCATCTCTAAAGCTAAATGCAACGAAGTTAAAGCCTCGGCGATTGTCGCCGCGCTGTTCTTTATTTCCAGCTGATAATCCAGTTCGTTCCGTGGCAGTGCCACGTCCAGAGTCCCGTCGTCGTACACGTTTAACGTGCCCTCGGACGGTAGTGGAAAAAATACATGACGATAATTGTGATCTGTAAAACGATTGCCATACTTACAGTCCCTTCCTGAGTTTCGTAAACGATAATTACTCGGCTGATTAGACATTTACCAGGTAGTTCCTTCATTGAACCGCGGAGGTACTGAGACAGCCATGTGCCGATGACAGCTACCGAGATTCCCGACACGAAAACGAGAAACACGATTATGCGATTAGCCGTCATAGCGGCATTCGCTTCTCCTACAGCTCTTCTCTTCATGTCCACGAGTTCTCGGTCACCGAAGACGATACACTGTTCACGCAACGCCAGCATCTCGCTCTACCGATGCGTCCCTTCCGAGTAATGACGAGATGAAACATGTTCTCTGCGTTTTCCAACACGATGTTGGTTTAACCCTCGCTCCGATGGCTCCGACTGCCTGGACTTGGACTGGAGAAGTGGGAGAAGTGGAAAACTGGAAAATGCGCGTGAACGTGAACCTCGCCGAAATTTCATTCAATCGAGAGCTCGATAGAGCTCGAGGGCAACTGCTCGGCCACGTGGTCTTTTTCGATTGGTCTAGTTTTCCATCTCTCTCCAAAGGAATCTTAACCAACTGCCCGCGAATTTCTCTGTGTCAATCTTTCTTCAATAACAATAACGAATAATCTCTCGGGAAGTATTTTACCAATTATCAACGATGGAGAAAATGGAATCTTTGATGGAAATTGATTTGTACGAGTTGATCGGTGTAGAGCAATCAGCTTCGACTCAGGAAGTATGAAATCGTTTGTTCGTTAACAAGTTACGCTTTTAATGCAATGCATCTTCCTAATCTGTAAACTTACTTTAGATCAAAAAAGCATATCGCAAGAAGGCTCTTTCTTGCCATCCTGATAAGAATCCAAACAATCCGAGAGCAAATGAATTGTTTCACGAATTGTCACACGCGTTAGAAATCCTTACCGACACATCTGCTCGTGTAAGTACACACATAAACACTACAAACATTCATTAATTTGTCTCATTATTCATTGATAATATCATATTTCCACAAAACAAGGCAGCTTATGACAAAGTACTCAACGCTAGACTTCAAGCAAAATTGCGCATTAAAGAATTTGATGCGAAGCGTAGGAAGCTGAAAGAAGACTTGGAAGCAAGGGAGGATGCTTACAGGAGATCCACAACTGCAGATTTTAAGAGTGACAAAGAAAAATTACAAGTACGCTTTATGCTTCCTATGTTTATTATGTATCGCTTTGTTACATTGTATCGTTGTCTTGCAGGCTGAAATAGACAGGTTACAGAAAGAAGGATCGAAACAGTTGAAGGAAGAGATAGAGCTTATGCAAAAACATTTTCAAGATCAATTAAATACAAGCCTCAAAGAATCTGAAGTAGATAATGGTTCCTTTAAGATAAGAGTGAAATGGAAGACTGACAAGAATCAGTCAAACGATATATATAATTATGATACGTTACACAGGATATTTTCAAAGGTATAACATTCCTCAAATAATTTTAATAAGACAGATTTTTAATTATGTTCTGCTATAAAAATGTTTATTTGTAGTATGGTGATATAAATGCACTTATCGTGTCTCCCACTGGAAAGGGCAGTGCATTGGTTGAATATCAAAATAAAAGTGATGCAGTAAGTATTAATAGACTTATTACTAGAAATAACATATTTCTTATTATTATATGTTATATCCAGGAATTGGCTGTAAGTGTGGAAGTTGGTTTTGCACAGAACCCGCTTAAACTCCAAAAGTTATGGAGTACAGTAAAAGAATCTGCCACTTTTAAGATGGGAGCTTCTTACAGTGATAATAATATCCCGCGAAAAGAGGTACGTACATATTCTAGAATGTTATTTATTTACTGCTTAAAGTTAAGGTGTAAATATTGAGTACAAATATCAAATAGCAGGTAAATCAAAGAATGTCGGACAGCGAATTCGAACTTTCTGTACTACGCAATCTAAGAAAGGCCGAGGAACTGAAAAGATCGGGGCAGTTGCATACAACCGAAAACACTTGATTAAACATCGCCATTCAAGCTTCATTGTACATACGATCGACGATGCCACGAGGTGCCACTTGAATAACTTAATTGTGTATCTTTATAAATACAAATGCGGACTACAAAGAACTGAACTGTATTATTTATACCCTTATCGTCGGCCTATGAAATCAGTGAAGAGATCTTCGTTACGAAAAGTTTATTAGTTAATCATTAATTTCGTGAGCATTGAATTCAATTCAATAATGATAATATTCAGATTATAAATGAATCTGTTTTATAGGTGAGAGATCCAAACTCGACATCTTTTTAATCCTTTTGCTTTTTTTGTTTCTTGTCTTTTATTTCGTAGATAGGCGCTGGTTTAACGAACGGAATCTCGTTTTCGTACTTAGGTGGCATAAACTCTGCAAGGACCTTTGGTACCTTGATACCAGTTTCTGTCTGATGCACTTCCAAGACCGCGCATATGACACGAGTAATCGCACACATTGTTGCATTCAACATGTGTACGTAATCCGTGCTGGTATTCATCTTCTTCGTTTGGCCGTATCTGAAACGTGTCGATAATATTACGATACTATTATAGCGAGGATGACGATAATAAAATAAAACCCATACCTGACCAACAACCGTCTCGCTTGATAGTCTAAACAGTTGCTACACGAGACGAGTTCACGGAAAGCGCCCGATCCCGGAAACCATGCTTCCAAATCCAATTTCTTCGCAGCAGCGTTGTTCAATGCACCGGACACTATGTTCACTACACGGTAAGGAATTTCCAAAATTTTGTAAAATTCTTCCGCGTTCGTAATCATCTCCTCCATCATTTCCCAAGATTTGTTATCATACGGCGACGTTAAACAGAATTGTTCTATCTATCGATCAAACATATTTCAATTTATGTTACATCCGTTGCATTAAAGAAAATTAACAGCACAATTACTTTTTCGAATTGATGTACTCTAAAAATGCCTCTAGTATCGCGTCCATGGGATCCAGCCTCTTGCCTGAAGCATGTGGATAATCCTGCATATTTGATAGGTAAACTATTCTCAGAAATCCATTCGTTTCTGTGGAATGCAGCTATTGGTTGCTCAGAGGTAGCGATCAAATATTTCTCTTCAATACTTTTATCTTCACTGCCTTTACCAATTACCTGAACAAATAAGATGCCAATAGAAACCATTGTTCATCATGTACTTCTGTGGATGAATGATATACCTTGTATAATTCTTCGTCAAACTGAGACAGTTGTGCTACTTCCTGCATGACGTCCTTTCGCATAAAGAATGGTGTGTACAGTGGTTTGTAGTCCTTGGAATACAATCTCCTGAGAGCTAATTGTGTCAATGCTTGCTGGAGAAAAACAGCAGGTCCTGTCAAAAAGTAACCACGTCCTCCAGAAACATTAGCCCCACGTTCTCCATCCATCCCATCGATCATACATATTAAATCTACATGGGAATACTGTTTCCTTTGTGTACAATCCCCATACGTTCTCTCCACCTTCAATTATTATTTCTCATTATTGATCAATTATTCTTAAAAGTACATAAAAGAATTCTAGTTAAACATACTTTGTTCTCTTCTTCGTCATTGCTAATTGGTACAGATTCATGCAGTATATTACCAATTTCTCTAAGAGCCTGATTCCTCTCCGATTCGATCAAGATTAAATTCTTGTCATTCGTTTGAATAGCATCGTCAATGGAACTACGAATTGTCTTAATCTGCGGAACCGTGAACGGCTTCAGGATATCAGACGACAAGTTTTCCAAGTCCTCGAGAACATCCTTCGGAACGGCATCGTCGCCGTCTATTCCTTCTTTCTTTTTCATTCTCTCGCCGATCTGTTTGCTACACAAATTCTTCAGCTTGTTCAAATTGTCGGCTTTGTGTCGCAGTTGACGCCAAACTTTGTCTTTCTCTATTACTGTTTCTACTAAATTTACATCCTTGAAACGATTCCTCTGATTCTCTCGCATCTTTTCCGGGTCACATCCCTTGTCCTTTCGGAAAAGATCTAAATCCAGCACCATATTTGACACTGTCAGCGGAGGAGAGCGGTATCCCAATTTGTACTGAATTACACGTGGCTGCTGACTTATCGGTATACTATGCACCGCTATGCACTCTGTTTCGCTACTTGCTGTTGACCGATTACTGTTTCTATGTCATTAATTATCACCACATGGACATGTATTACAAGTCAATGATGTACGATCCTCAAAAGTTAAGTCGCAATATAAGAATGATGAAATTTTCTTTCTTATTACCCGCTTGTACGTGCATACGTGCTGCAGGAAATAAAATATACGTAACGTATCATTGAACGTATACTGTATAACGGGTGTTTAATTCAATGCTTCGTAGCATTGCATTATACACAAATAATAGGAACTTATACGATTCTACTGAGTATATATATATATAATATTATACGATTGAAATATTTTATTGGAAATATGACATAACATATACAGAGTTGAGTACAATGAGGAAAGATCTAGGGTTTTGACACGGTGTATAGACAGATGATGCGGGTGCGAGGATCGTAACGTAACTTGGCTACAATAATCCGTAATTTATTTTACGTGAATTAAAGAAGATAAAAGATGAGAGGAAGTAGAACCCGTAGCCGTAGTGTCATACGTCAAGGGACAACAGGGAGGACAGAGGAAAGGGCTTAAAAAGTAAGGACTGAAAGAGGATCACATTCGAGCCTCGAGATTTCGTAATACATCTTTAGTTTTTCATTAAAAGCACGTATGTGTACATGTTTTCTTGATCGTGCGCACGCGCAGCAGATTTAATTTCGTGAAAAAATTGAGGAACTTCGAATATACACACACTACAACATCTACTAGATATATCACGATATGCATTGATAGCGCTCGTAGCTTCTTCAATTAAAGACACGATTGATTGAAGATTGACTCGACGTAAGTTTAACATAATGAACGGGAGGTCAGGTACAGTGTTAGCAGATAATTGAATCGTGGATTCAAATAGTCAGGTTGGTGATAGTCAGCGGTATACTTTTCATGTACTATTTCAGCTCCATAACCTTTCACGCTTGTCAATTGATCGGGACTTGTTTTTCGTTCCTTTTACGAAATTGGAATCGTTCGATCGTTCCGTCATAAGAGTATCCATAAAACTCAACGAAAGCTCCTCTCCCTTTCTTGTACAACTATCAATTTTAGACAGTCTCTCCGCGAACATGTAGCTTTTATTTTACTGAATCTTATTGTCTCAAACTATCAAGGAATAAATGAATGAATGGTCGTAATTTTTATTTCAGATACGGTATAGTAGTAAGCATTTCGACAAAACATTGGGGCATAATTAATGTCGTTATATGTCGGCATATATTTTGATACATAAAAGCCCTACAACTAAAAGGCGTACAGCTCTACGCTAGACCGGTGAGTTCCAACACAAAATATTGCTTGGTAGTACGGCGGACACTCAAAGCCAACTAACCATGTCTGTACAAAGTGTTGCTCTGGCATCTCTCACGGCCACCTATACCGACTCGGAGGGCGAAGACGGGGTGGAAGACGACCTTCAGGAGAATTCGAACACTCCCCAGGGGGCCGCCCCGCATAATGCCCAAGTCGGTCAGCCCCAGGCTTTCACCAGTCCCAAATCTGGCACATCAGCCTCAAATAGTCCCGTTGTTGCTCCCAGCGTCGGTGGCAAGTCTAGTAACGATTTGTCGAACGCGCCCACCTTAGTAACAGATGCGATGGCATCTAAGGTGCAGAGATTGGTTTCATACTTTGATGATGCAGTGGTCTCCGATGACGAGGGAGTCATGCAGACGCCGGTCGATGGACAGCCTTTTGAAAACGGAAGGCCCTCCACGATTACGGAATGCTCTCCCCGTTGTCAAGGAGAACAGTTAGTTTCAGATGGCGAGGCGGATACCTATGGCGTTGTGATACCGCCCGAGCCACCGGGACAGTGTCCCGTCGACTTGCAGGAGAAAATAACAAAACTTTTTAGGAAAATGGAGAGCGGCGGTTTGGACATGAACAAAGTTATACAGCAGAGAAAAGATTTCAGGAATCCATCCATTTACGAAAAGTTAATTCAATTTTGTAGCATCAACGAACTGGGTACTAATTATCCTCCGGATAGATTCGATCCGTTCAAGTGGGGTAAAGATTCCTATTACGACGAACTCGCTAAAGTTCAGAAGGCCGAGATGGACAAGCTCGAAAAAGCTAGAAAGGAGAAGACGAAGATCGAGATCGTTTCTGGCACGGCCAAACGGCCCAGTAGTTCTAACATCACGGAAGACGATGCCAAGAAGAGGAAAAGTAAATGGGATCAAGTCGCAACGGGAACCACTGCCTCGGTAAAACCAACCGTTCTGTTATCTCAACCGACTCTTACGACTTTAACGTCGTCCGCGACGGGCACCAAAGCGACGGTAATATCTGCCTTTGGATCTTTACCAAAGAAAAGACTGTAACATATCTTGTAAATCACTTGTAAATATCTCGCATCTTTGTGGAAGAAGTAAAACACACCTCACTCCTTATTTAAAATTGTACAATATATATATGTATAAAGAAGAAATAACAGCGAATTTCGTACAGAATAGCATGTACGTAAGCTCGTGAGAGTACACGCGACCGTACGTTCATTTATATGGCCATGCGACGCCTGTAAAACCGATCATTGGTTTTGTTGAATTTAGTGTCTCGATTGTATCATTAGCGCAGTCATTGTCTGCTAAATCGAGAAGAATGCATTCGAAATCAATGGTTTTCAACGAATGAAAGAGAGGAGTAGGAAATTATAGGAATTACAAATTTGATCGACCATCGATTTCATTCATTATTCCTTTTTATGTAAAATATACATTTTCGATACATTTTCATTTTGCTGTTCTTTTAGTTACGTTTCTCT